CAGGGGCAGTGAGAGGCTTCACCAGAGACAGAGTGGGGAGCAGAACAGGCAGATTGACCAAGTACACTGCTGAGGGGAGCAGCGGGCGGTTCAGGAGAATCTGCCACGCCATGTGGTCACCTCCGGGGCAGGTGGGAATCAAACTCATGCTAAAGTGGCTTTAGCTTCTCAGTGCTGTGCTTTAACCCGCTGCGCCACCAGGGAACGCCCCGGGGTGGGGGGGAACATTTGACGGCATCTCACTCTAGTTCAAATCCCAGTTCTGCCACTTACTGGCGAGATCTTGGTCCAGACAGCAAAGCTGTCTGTACCTCGGTTGCTTCATCTATAAAATGGGGATAATACCACCTCCACTCTGGAGGATTAGAAGGTCACCAGGAGCATTTAGCAAATGGTAGCTGCTCTCCTGGTCTGCTCTTCTCAACTGAACCAGCTTCTGCACACCCCAGGAGATGAGCCGTGATCTCTGCCACCAGCAGGAAGCACTGTGGGAGCTACTGACCACCGAGCTGATCTACGTGACGAAGCTCAAGATCATGACCGACGTGAGCCTCCCTCAGCCGCTCCCCATGGGATCTCAGCCGCTCCCCATGGGATCCCCATGGGGACCTCTTACATGATCCCCATCCCCAGGCCAGAAGCAGGGGGGTCACTGAGGCAGAACAGGATGTCAAGAGATCCCCCCGGCTTGAGCCTGGGATCTTGAGAGAATGGGTGACAGTGGTGATGGTGGGTGAAGGCGGGCATTGAAGGTCTGGGGTCTCGTAAAGAAGGGGTCATGCACTGAGACCCCCCCTCTCTCCCTGCATCTAGCTCCTCGTCAACGGTTTGCTGAACTTGCAGCGTGTGGGACTGCTGACGGAAGTGAGTGGGAATTCACTGGGGATACCTGGAGCGACACCTCCCAAGCTCTGAGTCTGGGGAGTGGGGATGTGAGATGACAGCGAGCCTGCCGCTGTCCGGGCAGTACAACTGCCTGTCCCCCTTACACCCTTTCTTGCTCTAGGCCAAGCAGGTGTCAGGCCTCCAGCCTCTTCCCCACTCCTGGACTCAGCCCAAGGCCCCCCCCACCCCTCAGTGAGGGCAAAGTGGAAGGGAAGACTGGAGTCCCTCAGATCTTTCAGGCTCACTGTCAAGGCCACCTCTCCCCTGCCCACCACCCCACCATCACCCTCAGCAGCCTGGCCACCCAGTGCTGCCTGACGGTGACCCGCTAAGACATGTTGCAAATTTCTACTCCCTCCTGCAGGTGTCGGCTGAGACCCTTTTTGGAAATGTCCCCAGCTTGATTCGAGTCCACCAGAGCTTTTGGGATGAGGTGCTGGGGCCCACCCTGGAGGAGACTCGCACCTCTGGCCAGCCGCTGGACCCTGTCAGTCTGCAAAGTGGCTTCCTGATGGTGAGGTGTGGGGAAGGGCTGCCTTCAGCTAGGAGGACTGCAGATGCCCAGAGCGGTCTTGTCTGGAGGGCGTGCCCACCAGACTCAAAGCCTCTCATGACTGGGGGGGGGTCTGAAGATATAGCCCCCCCCCCAAAAAAATATCACCATAACTCTGCCCTTTAGTTCCCTGGGTATAGACATGAAGCCCTCCCATCCTCTGAAAACCTTATGAATTATAAAAGCAGCTACCTCACACAAGAGGAAGAATGATGTTAAAAAAAAAGTGTATATATGTGTGCGTGTGTGTGTGTGTACACACACATATATACTTATATATATATTTTATATATTTATATATATATTTATACACACATATATATATATTTTAAAAAGCAGCTGCTTCAGAGAAAGGTTAGCTTAAGCTCTTATCACCTACCAAAGATCTTCTTGCTTCCAAGCCCTCTGGCAAATACAGCCTGGAGCTAGGAGGCCTAAGGGAGATTCCCCTGGAGGGTGGGGATGGGGACATAAAGGGCACAGGGCCCTGGAGAAGGATGATAAGAGAAAGCAAGAGGCCTAGAATGAGACTTTCTCCTATAGTTTTATCCAGCCAAGAAAGGAGGGGTGGGCCCCAGCAAGTGGGGGGGGGGGCAGGGGACTCAGGAGGATTCCGCAGGAGCAAGGCTCTGGGTGAGCCTCGGGACCTCACCCTACCCCACCCCAGGGTGAAATGGGATCTTCAGTGTCCTGAAAACGTTGCAGCTGAATTATTGATGGTGGGGAGTAGGTGCCAGGTGGCAGGGTGCGGCAGGCCCAGTTGGGGGTTCACACCACAGCGGCAGGCACAACCTCCCACCTCGTGGGGCCTCAGCTCCCACGTGGACTCAGAGGCACTGGCAGGGGCGCTGGAGTGGTGGGAGAGAACTCTCTCCTCTCCATGCTCCCCACATTCTGCGGCCAGAGCCCGTACCTCATGCCCTTCTTCCCCTCCGCTGCCGTCCTGCTCTGTCCAGTTCAAGCAACGGTTCCAGCCGTATGTCCAGTACTGCACGCAAGTAAAGCAGATCATGTCTCACGCCCGGCAGCTGCAAGACACTAACCATCTCTTCCACACCTTCGTGCAGGTGGGAAAGGGGGGTGCGAGGACGGGGCATGGGGTGGACCCTAGACGACTGGGCTACTCCAGCTGGGTCACGGGAGGGGCGGGGTAGCAGGGAGCATGCAGCCTCCCGAGCCCTGCCCGCCTCCCGGCAGTGGTGTGAGAAACACAAGCGCTCGGGGAGACAGCAGCTGGGGGACCTGCTCATCAAGCCCCAACAGCGCATCACCAAGTACCCACTGCTGCTGCACGCTGTGCTCAAGCGGAGCCCGGAGGCCGAGGCCCAGAAGGCCCTGGAAGCCATGGTAGGCGGCCCCGCTGGTCCAGGACCTGGGAGTTGGGGCGGCCGCTCTCCAGGAGCCCCGGGGTGTCTCTCCCCATGTGCACGTGACAGCGTGGCTGTTCGTCCCTGCAACCCCACCCCACGCAGATTAAAGAGGTGGAGTCGTTCCTGAAGTACATCAATAAGCAAATCCGCTACCATGAAGAGCAGGAGAGCTTGCTGGCTGCCACCCAACGCATCGGGCCCTACGAGGTGCTGGAGCTGTCCAACGAGGAGGTGGAGAGGGTGAGAGATGTGTGTGGGAGGGAGAGCCCGAGCGGAGGATGAAGCAGATACCTGAAAGAAAAAGGGCAGAGGGGGAGGGCAAGCCCACAGTCCTTGGTGGAGAGGGAGGAAGAGGGCTCAAGGGGTCGAGTTCAAAAGTGTGAAAAGAAAGCACCGGCCTCGTCTTCCTCCAATACGGAAAGGTTAGACGGGGAAGATGCTGGTGACGGAACAGAGAGCCGCCTGGGCGGGGAGGTAGCCGGCCGACCCTCTCCCTCTGCCGTGCAGAGTCTGCGCCCATTCTCCACCCTGAACCTGATGGCTCCCATGACGGGGGTGTCTTTTGAGCACACCAGGAAGCTGCTGCATGAGGGACCAGCCAGAGTGAAGGAAGGCCGGGAAGGGAAGGTGAGGCAGAGCACCGGAGCAGAGACAACAGGGCGCTGGCTGCGGAGAAAATGGGAGGGAGGGAGAGATGAGTGGGAGATGCTGGAACTAGAGCAGAGCAGGGGCCTACCTATATCCGGGAGAGGAGGGGGTTCTGGCGGAATTCCGGGTGTTAGTAGGCCCCTGGGTGAGCCTGTCTATCAGGTGCGCATGGGGCCGGGCAGACACCCCTGGTGGCTCGGGCACCCCGTGGTCTGCACAGTTGCCTGTGCCCACGCACCTCCCACCCTTGGGCCGCCCTTCCCTGCTCCAGCTGACCCCTGCCTTTCTCCTGCCCACGCACACAGCTGGATGTGTACCTGCTCCTCTTCTCTGACGTGCTCCTGGTGACCAAGCCCCAGCGCAAAACAGACAAAGTCAAGGTCATCCGTGCCCCGTACATGCTGGAGAAGCTTGTATGCCAACCACTCCGAGACCCTAGTACGTCTCTCATGCGGGCCTTTTCCTGCTCCCTTTCTGCAGCGAGAGGACCGAGGGCTTGGGGTGGGGACCAAATAAGGCCCTCCCCTTGAAGCAGACTTGTCTTCCACCCAGACAGCTTCCTCGTGATCCACCTCACCGAGTTCCAGTGCTTCTCCAGCGCCTTCATTGTGCACTGTCCCAGTGCTGCAGACCAAGTCCAGTGGCTGGAAAAGACCCTGCAGGCCCAGGTATGTGAACGCTGGGGTGGGAGAGATGGTAGGGACATCCCTGGAACTCAGGAGACAAGAACACAAGCGAAGAGGAGGAGGAGAGGGAGGCTGGGTGGATGCAGGTTCAGACTGGACCTAGGGCTTCTCCTGTGTGCCCTCAAGAGGGAGATGCTCCTTGACCCAGAAGACCTGGGGAAAGTCTTCAGTCAGCTACTGTGCCGGTCCACAGGAAGAACCAGCATAGCTTCCCCTAAGGGTTTCTAGACCCTAAAACAATTCCCCTCTAAACTTCATCAGTTTAAAGTTCAAAGACATTAGTGGAGCAATAACTGTCATGAATGGAGGCTGGAACTAGGGTCAAGAAGGGAGGAATTCCTTCTGTCTTGTGGGTGGGCCGGGGAGGGAAGACAGGTAGGCTGAGAGGCCTTAACACCTTTGAGGGGCATGTCTAGGAATATGTCACCCAAGGGTGAATGGGAAGGGTGTTCCCAATGTTTAAGTGAAGTGTGCAAGAATTGGAAGTATAACAGTTGTGCAGAACCTCCAATTTCCACCTCCGTCTGCACGTGACCGGCCTTTCTGCAAGTCTCTGTCGAAATCCCGCTGTGTCTCTTACAAAGACATCAGCTCAGAAGCCACGCTCAATCCTGAGATCCTTGGCTTCGGGTCTTTTCATTTCTGCCAAGACCTCCTTTCCAGATCAGGTCCTGTTCACAGCTTCTGGAGTTTAGTACCTAGAAGTATCTTTCTAGGGGTTACAAGTGACCCACTTCAAGAGCAGAGTGGCCAAAGGAGGCTAGAGATTTGAGCTGGACTTTCAAAACGGGGGAAAACCGCAAGCAGAAGTCTCAAGGGAGCTGATAGGCTGGATTTATTTTGGGGACAGTGATCCATGTCTGTCTGGCTTTGGATCAAAGGGTTTGTGTGAGCAGGTGATAAGAGGCCAGGTTTTGCAGGACCCCACAAGTTTGAGTGTGGCCTGGCTGACCTAAATTCACAGTGACAAGAGAGAGACACTGTAACTCTCAAGCAAGGCAATACCACGGCAAAATCAGCATGAATCGTCTGGTGGCAGTGTGGTAGGTGGGCTGGTGAGGGACTTTTAATGGACTGGTTTGGATGTGAAATACTGATGTTCACTGCCACAGACACACTGCAAAAAGCCAGAGAAGAAAAGCTAAAGAAAGGAGGGCTAGGTATGCCATGGGGAAGGCATGGAAATCTAGTTTCCAACACCAAGCTTACTCTTTCCAAGCTGTGTGATCTGGGTGAATTATGAGAGCACCCCATAATTCAACGAAAGTGTCAGATTGAGCAGGCATAATCACTCTCTGGAGATGTCCTGCAGCCCAGTTCCCCAGGACAAAGGAGGGCTGGCCCCAAGGTCCACATTGGACAGCCAACTTTGCCAGTGGTCTCCCTGCAGGGCGGGAGTCATTAAAAAGGGAAACCTGTTTGCTTAGTTGTGCCTTCCCTGGCAGGGTGGGGCCAGGGCAGTAATATCTAGTTTTAAACTGAAGCGCTTTGAAATGGAGCTGGTGGGAGATAGCCAAGTGGAGATATCTTAGGGGCTGTTGGGACACACTCCCAGAGTTTGGGTGAGAATAAGGATGAAAGATGGAACCCTAAGATCTGTGTTGGCTGGCTGCACTGGGACCCCATTTCCTAACCCTTAAGCAAAATGGTGACAGTCCCCAGGAAGCCAGAGGTAGGGAGAGGGTAGGGGTGGCTTTTATAGAGTGCGGTCCCCCATCTGCTGTGACCCCTGTTACAGGCCCCTTTTGTGGGTAGCAGGGGTCTTCTCTCACCACCATCTCGCCCCCGGTGCCAGCACAGTGCCCGTGAGGGGGGATGTGGTTAGTCCCAGCCCTTCATCAAGTCTTACAGAAGGCTGGGTGGGTCTGAGGGAAGCACAGGACTAAAGCCACGCCTCAGGGTTCCCCAGGACCGTAGGTAGGGGACCCTTACTAGATGGCAACCTCCTTTTTTTCTTTAAACCACCCCTCACCATCAGAACTTTCTTCTCTTCTTTGGCTCCTGGCTCCAGAGGATACCCACCCCCAACTTGAAGGGAACCCCTTCAAATTGCTGGTGATTATTGCAAATGCAGTTCACTTCCAGCCGTCTCTTTTTCGGCTCATAGAGCAGAGGAAGTAGCTTCTGCCTCCAGTATACAGAGTTCTCAGCCTCCCTCAGCTGAACAAAGAGCCCTGAAGGTTTGGGGTTAGCGTTTCCGGCTATTATCTCCTCTCAGATTGTCCACTTCTCTCACTTGTAAACAGAAGAGGGCAGTAGAAGAGTAGGAGAGGACAGCCTCCTCGCTGGAGGGCAGGCTGTGTTCTGCTCCTTACAGACATGTGGAGATTGAGTCCTCCCGGATTTAGCCTTGGCAGCTCAAGCCTTTAGTCACTTTTCCAAGGAGAAGAGACTGCACTTGCGAAATACCCATATTTAGGGGCTGGGAAGAGGGAAAGAACAGAAAGAGCTGTCCAAGATGAAGGCCCAGACGCGAAGGAGGGAGGCTGGGAAGGCAGAGGGGTGGAGGCTGCTCGTGGCCTGGCCTCCAGTTCCCCGTCGCTGCCCCTCTGTGAGCTGGGCCCAGGTCCGCGGAAACTGACTGGGGAAGCACATACTGCAGGACAGGGGGGAACTGGGTTTGAAAGCTGCCTGGCAGGAAACCTGGAATTTAGTTGTCACTCCAGAAATGCTTATTATGGTCATCCTGAAGGCAAAGGGGTAGTGGTGGGCAGGGCCAAAGCTGACCAGGCCGTGGGCACCTTCAAGAAATGGGCGCCAGTCCTTGCCGGGGGACCCTGGAGGACCATCACTGGCAAGGGAGAGGGGGTCTTTCCTCTCAGGGACCTAGTTCTCCAGCTGAGCACCGGAAGAAGGGAAGAATCGTGCTGGGGGAGGCACCCCTCTTCCCGGCTGTGTGAGGGTGTCACCTTCCGGCACAGACACGTTTCCTCTTCGAGTCCCACCCTGCCACCAACATGTCTCTTGTCTTGGCCAAACTGAGAAAGCCCTCCCAGGATTGCAGGAGAGGCTTTGGAATGGTTGGGACACTTCAGACCACCCTGTCCCCCAGTATTGGTTTACCCCCCCCCAAATTTCCTGCTTCTTGCCAGGACAAGTTTAGTGGAGGTGCAGATATCGGGGTTCCTTGTTGGACCACCGTCTTCGTTCAGTTCTTTTCCTCCACATGCCATCCCTGCCCTGGACATCCTGAACAAAATTGCTCTGAGTCTCATGGGGCCAGAGAGCACAGCTAACAGCAGGACAAATGGACCCCAGCCTTTCTGCCCCACTCTCCAATCGGATGGGAGATGAGGTCTGGGATGGGGGAGGACATTATGGGCTTGACCCTGCTGTGCCTGTTCCCTGTCCCCAGGCACCATCATCCCTTGCTCTGGCCACAGACCAAGTCTTTTGGGATGGCTAGGAATCCTTGCACTGCTGTGTCTCGGGAGCCTGAGTGGCTGGAGGGCCAGGAGAGGGACAGCTGGAAACCTGATACCATTTTTCTCTGCCCGTTCATCCACTTCTCTGAGGAGTCTCTGATTCTGCCCAGCGACCTCTGTGTTTCTGGAGAGACTCTGCAAAGGTCCAGGTATCCATGAGCTGCAGGTTCATATACGTCCTAGAGGCCCCTTGCTGTGGGAGACCTTATCCCTCTAGCTGCTGGATGTTGTGGGGGAATTGAGGGAGGGATGGAAAGTTCAGACAACAATCCTTGACTTATCAGCTTGGAAGTTCTCCAACATTCTGACAATGATCTAGCCACAGCAGTGAGTCCTGCTATCAGGGCTGCCCACAGCAGCCAGCACTACTTCCCCACTGGCCAAGCCTCCTCCTCCACTCTCTCCTCAGGCTCTGCTGCCTCCTCCCCTGAGTAAACACTGCCTTTTAGTAATGATTTACCCTTTCAGGCTGCCCTTGAAAACAATGTAGTTACAGAACTAGGACTCAAAAAGAAAGGACCAGGCAGGTGTGCCACACTGCCTGTGCAACCCTAAGCACGTCCCTTTCAGCTCTGTTTTCTCTTTGTAAAATGGGCCAATATCCCTGCTTTCCACCCTGCAGGACAATGGTGTGTCAAACGATGACGTACATGTGGAAGTGCCTTGTAAACCACTTTTCAATGTGATTATTCTGATAGTACCTATATGAAAATGGTGAGGTGAAAAAAGACCAAAAATGTAGTGTATCCTCTCTCCATTCCCCTTGGAGTGGTTTTGCTTTTCTCCCCAAGGACAGCAGAGTCCCAAGCCCAGGACAGACCCTGTTCCTGTAATTTGAGGGCCCGGCACTATTCAAAGCATTTATACCACCACCATCATCAATCAGGGAGGGCTTCCTGAAAGAGGAAGACCAGGTAGTGGGCTTCCCACCTGAGAACATGAGAAGCAGGAAGAACATTAGAAGTAGGAAAATGGGTCTTCTGTTCATTCCACATCCCTTCAGAACCAGCTAGAGTTCAAATCCTGGCTCCATCCACTTTCTTATTGCATGACCTTGGCTGTTACTTAAACTCAGTTTCTATTTCTCAATAGTAAAATAGGAGTCAAAAATTATATCTGCCTGGTATCTACGGCTGTGGATATTAAGGTAATGAGCATAAAGCCCTTGCTGAGTTGCTTGGCATACAGGAAGTGCTCAATAAATGAGAGCTCTAATGACAATGTCCCCTCCCCCAGGCATACCTGAAAAAGCTGAAGGAAGAAGAGTTCGCTCAACAGAAGAGAATGCTTCTGGCTATTTACCGGGATGGGGAGGAGCAGTCCCCAGGCACCAGGCCCTCCACGCCCTCTACAGTCTCTCTGGAGGGCTCTCAGAGCAGCACGGAGGGCCGGTAAGACTCATGGATCATGGGGCCTCCCAAAATGAAGTGGGGACCTTTCAGGCAGGGAGGGAGAAAAGGGGAACCCACAAGGGTGAACAATAGCCTTGCAGCTTTGGGGACAAGAGGGACCTGAGATCAAAGAGCAGGTTGGCACCAGCCCTTGAAAAGCCTGCATGGGACAGCTTAAGGAGTTAGCCAGCCTAGGGTGGGCACCGGCAAAGAAAACAGACATGAGGGGCATGAGCTCCATGAGACGAACAGGCTTTGCCCCAAGGAATGGAGAGTGATGGGCAGGCTGGATTTGTAGAACGTGGCAGCTGCAAGGAGCTGGCTGGTCCAGATTACCAGAGACTGAGCAGAATAGCACAGCTTTTCCGCAGCCTGGTTAAGGAGGAAAAAAATTAATCTACCCCTGGGGGAAAACCTCGGGGAGCTAGAAGCACACCGGAAATGCTTGACACAAGGTCCTAGACCCAGTTCGTAGCTAAATGCCTTAGAGGAGCTCAGGGAGCTCCCAGCTAAGCCAGCAAGCTGAGAAAAACAATCAGAGTAAAGGAGACAAGAGAAGTAAATTTGGGCCATACCGCTAAGGTCTGATCGCGGGAACTCCCTGGGCTTTACCTGGCCCCTGAGCACCTGACTGCCTGTTCACTCCTCACAGGAGGACTCCTGAGTTCACCACCGTCATCCCCCAACTGGTGGTGACAGAAGACACAGAGGAAGAGGCTCCCTCAGTACAGGATGATACCTCAGACTCAGGCTACGGCACGCTGGTCTCAGACTCCCCCAAGGGGTTCCGCTCCCCGCTAAACCGTCTACGCCCTCGAGCTCTTCGAAGGGACCCGCGCCTCACCTTCTCCAACCTGGACCTCCGAGATGTTCCCTGGCGCCCCCAGCTTCCTGACCCCCAAGCCCTCCAACGCCGAAGTGCCCCTGATCTGCCAGAGGCAGGACTCCGACAAGGCGGCAGTCTTCCCAGGGGCCTGCCACCAGCCTGGTCTGAGGAGGACAGAACTCCGGTGGGAGAGAATGTGATCATGGAGAGCTTGCACAGGTCCCGGCATCGGGGCCAGGCCCACTGCTCCCCAGCCCACACTGACTCTGCTGGGGAAAGCCCCTGGGAGTCATCAGGGGATGAGGTAGAGGAGAGCCCGGAGAACCTCCGAGAGCGCAGGCTCAAAATTATCGGGGAAGACCTGGCCTGCCAAAGGATCGGAGGCACGTCGGAGCCCAGGGACGACAGCAAGCCTCGAAAGCTGACTAGGGCCCAAGTGAACAGGATGCGGGGAGCCCCACGGGTCATACAGCTGGAGAACACCGTATCCACGTCGTAAGTGCTGCAGGGAAGCCCAGCATGCAGGGGGGGGGGCGCACCTG